AGCCACTGTGAGTGTCCCAGCCCCAGCCAGCACCCAGGAAGAGCTGATATCCTCACCCCAGGGCCCAGCCTATTGGCAGAACATCCCAATCCCACTGCTAGCGAGCCACCTGTCCCTGCTGACAGCACTCTGCCCAGCAAGCACCGTCCAGTCTCTGCCTGCACGCGTTCGCACAGCCTTGCTGTGGGTGATGGACGCTGACCTACACAAAGCTCTGCTGCCCAAATAGGGGCAGCTGATGAAGAGGACCATGGGGCAGGGGACAAGTGGAGTGCATGGAAGCAGGCAAAGGATGACAGGTGGCCCAGGCAGGCTGGATGGAGACCCACAGTGAGAAGCCTGGCAGGGAGTTAGCACAGGGCAGTCAGCAGCTTGGTCCTAACCTGCAGCCTCTCTGGCTGGGCTCCACTCCCGGCCAGCCTTGCCCCCAGAGTCCCGACTGGCAGCCTTGGCCTCTCCTCCAGCCCTGGCTTGCCTCTCTGCCTCTCCACCTGTGTCAGAGTCTCTGAGCTCTTAACTGTGTCTATTTCCATCTCCTTAACCAGCCCCCATTCCAATCCTGGAGCTGTCCATGTGAAGCCCTGATCCCCCCAAGGCCCATGGGGTCCCACAGCCCAGGCCACACACACCTGTCCCCACCGCAGCCAGACCACAGACCAGACATGACATGGAGGCAAATGGCTGGGTTGTGCATGTGGGGCAGGAAGTGGGCAAGTGACCACGTCTGGGGCCAGACAGTCAAGCAGCCCCTCCCACCTGAACCCCCTCATCCACCCCGGCCCAAGCCAGAGCATGGCAGGGGCCACTGAGGCCACAAGGTCATCCACAGTCAGGCCTCTGGGGCAGCGGGCAACAGCCATGACAAGGGCCTGCAGCACAGGCCACCTGGCTGCAGGAGGCCTGGTCCCTCCAGCAGATGCCACTCACCACATGAGCAGGTGGGTCCCGAGCCCGCTGGCCCCTCTGAACACTGAGAGGTCAGCAGGGCCAGGGGAGGCAGGGCACTGCAGGGAGTAGAGGATACAGTTCAGAGACGGATACTAAGTGGGAGGAGAGAGGGAGACCACAGAGGACACTGGCCAGGACAGGAGCAAAGCAAGAGCAAGCTGCCACTAAGTCCAGTGGGGCAGAGGAAGCAGGATGAAATGGGGCTTCCTGAAGCAACAAGGAACAGCACATGCAGCCCAGCTTGGCAGAGGGACTGGAGGACAGCAAGGGCAGCTCCCCCACAGCTATGTGTGCTGGCTAGGAGACCAGGCCAAGCTGAGCAGGGTTGAGCTGAGCTCAGATGGCAGATGCAGTTCACCTGAGCTGAGTTTGGCTGGGTGGAAAAGGGCGAAGCTGAATTGAGCAGAACAGGGCCAGGCTGAGGTAGAGGAGAGCAGAACAAAGCAGGGCTGGGCTGGGCCGGGCTGAGGAGAGTTGAATTAGGCTGAGCAGGGCCAACAGGGCAGGGCTGGGCTGGGCTGAGCTGAGCTGAGCTAAGCTGTGCTGAACTGAGTTGGACTGAGAAGAACCACACAAAGCTGAGATGGACAGAGCTAGCCTGAGTTGAGTTGCACTGAGCAGGACCAACAGGGCTGGGCTGGGCTGAGGAGAGTTGAATTGGGCTGAGCAGAACCAACAGGGCTGGGCTGGGCTGGGCTGATCTGAGCAGAGCTAAGCTGAGTTGGGCTAAGCTGGGCTGAGCAGAACCAAGCAAGGCTGAGCTGGGCTGAGCTGCGCTGTACTGATCTTGGCTGAGATGGGCAGAGCTAAGCTGAGTTGAGTTGTGCTGAACAGGACCAACAGGGAGGACTGGGCTGAGCTGAGCAGACCTAAACTGAGCTGGGCTGAGCTGGGCTGAGCAGGAACAAGAGGGCTGAGCTGGGCTGAGCTGAACTGGGCTAAGCAGAGCCAAGCAGAGCTGAGCTTGGCTGAGCTGGTCTTGGCTGAGCTGAGTTTGGCTGAGCTGTGCTCGGCTGAGCAGAGCTAGGCTGAGCAGAGCTGGGCTGAGCAGAACCAAGCAGGGCTGGGCTGAACTGAGTTGGACCAAGAGGGCTGAGCTGGTCCAAGCAGGACTAACTAGGGCTGAGCTGAGCTAGGCTAAGCAGAACCAAGCAGGGTTAGGCTGGGCTGAGCTGAGCAGAGCTAAGCTGGGCTGAAGTGAGCTGAACTGAGCAGAACCAAGATGGCTCAGCTAGGCTGGTCCAACCAGGGCTGAGCTGGGCTGAACTGACTCAGCTAAGCGGAACCAAGCAGGGCTGAGCTGAACTAAGTTGAACTGGGCTGAGTTGGGCTGAGGAGAACCAAGCAGGGCTGAGCTTGAACTGAGCTGAGCTGAGCTGGGCTGAGTTGAGCTGGACTGAACATGACCAAGCAGGGCTGGCCTGGGCAGGGCTGAGCAAGACCAAAGCAGGGCTGTGTTGAGCTGAATTGAAATGGGCTAATGAGGACAAACAGGGCTGAACTGAGCTGGGCTGAACTGAGCTGGCTGAGCAGGACCAACAGGCCTGGGCTGGGCTGAGCTGAGCAGAGATAAGCGGAGCTGAGCTGAGCTGGGCTGAGCAGGACCAAGCAGGGCTGGGCTGAGCTGGTCTATATTGGGCTAAACTGATCTAGACTGCATCAGGCTAAGCTATGTAAACCAAGCTGAACTGAGCCCTGCTAGAAGAGCAAGGGTGAAGTGAGCTGTAAAGAACTGAGCTGAGCTGGGCTGGGATAACTGGGCTACACTGGGAGTCTTGGCAGAACAGAGTGACCTGAGCTGGGCTGAACTAGGCTATGCAGGTGTCTGAGAAGAACAGGGCCTAGTTGGGCCACTCTGGGTAGCTGTGCTGATCTGACTAAGCCC